GCAATTTTGCTGTAACAGATTATTGTTGTCAAACAAGGCACCACTGTAAAGCAAAGTGTGCTATTCTTATACCACCCTATACCACTTAAAGCACTCTCTGGACTGTTTACTGTTTAATTACGCAGGCTACACATTGCCGCCACCCCTCAAGCTGGGTATTCAATTTAACGACCATGGAAGGCTGCGTGAACCTTGAGCTGATTACCTTGGGTTGAACCCCGGGTTGTGAGCAGTACTGCAGTTTAACCTCTGTGCCACGAGGTTTGTCCTTCTGTTATAATAACTGTAGTTTGGATATGTTCTGGAAGTATGGCCTTGTGGAACTCTAGGTGTTGGTGAAGCACTACTTCTGTCATCCCTCACCAGACTAGCTGTGGCTTTTATAGTTGGAATCTACTAATATCTAGAACGACAAATGTTCTGTAGCTCAATTTTATGTATTCAAGATTTCTCAAGTTCGTGAATGTAATGTGTACATTTCAGCCAATTAGACACTTTTTGAATGTGGCCAATAAGATTGCTAAACTTTGTTGCTCTGAGCAAAAGCACTGTTCACTGTTCTATTTATAAGAATAAGGAAATCTTAATCTTTCATCAGCTACAAATAATTTGAAAACAGACTGCTGCTTTCAGCTTTAAACAACAGGCATGCTGTTAAAACAGTTCATGCTTGTTGACAGTGAGATTTTCCACTTTAGCTTATGATCCAAATGGGAATTCTCCACAGCTAGAAGTTGCGATATTGATATGTTTTCAGCTAAGAATAGATGCTTTTAGTTTTATAATGTTCAAAATTAAGATCTAGCTAATATTAAATTGCATGGATCTATAATTATTTGAATGAAGATAATAGCTGAAGTCTTGTTCATCATCATCACAAGCAATTTTTTGGAAGTGAAACTTTTCCTCTCTTGTCACCTGCCCCCACAATCCCTTTCATCATTGGAATCTGTGGAGGCTGTGACATCAAAGATTACTGATTACTTTGATTACTGAAATTTCTGTTGCTGGGATGACTTTACCATTGGCTGTGACTTTTGGTAATTAAGGAATCCTTCCTGCCATCCTACAGCTCCCATGGGTTTCTGACAACAAAAAGGGTTACTCTGAATTTGTTGGGGCCAAACTATTTCCTTGGTTGATGATGGCATCAGCTTGACATTGTGGAACTTGCACAAAAGAGGATTTCATCCATTATCTAATAAATTAGGATTATTTGATCCTTTATTTGATTAAAAAAGTTTGAGCACAGAGAAATAATTTGAAAATGCATACAGGAAGAACTTAAAGATACCTGAAACAGTGTATCTGTTAATTCAGTATACCATATTTTTCTGTGTAAAAAACTATCTTTTCCCTAAAATCATTGTAGGAAAAATTGAGGGTCGGCTTTTACACGGAAGTAAACCAAGGAAAAAACCATGTGAGTAGACATGGTCTAGAGGGGCGGGGTAAAAATCAAATAAATAAAACTGCCTACCCTATGCTGGTTAGTGGGGTCTGAAGGTACCTCCATGCTGGGACCCACCCCCTCTGTTTCTGTTTCTACTGATCTGAAGCAGCTCCCCCTTGCCTGCAAGGCAATCTGGAGTGGGGTGTGCATGCACCTCCCGCTCGGGATTCACCCCCTCCATTTCAGCTTCCGCTGCTGTTTCTGCTGCTGCTGCCCACCAGGTTGGGGTTTTGTTCTGTTTTTTTTTCAGTTTGGACACTTGTGCTCAGACCCACCCCCTCTGTTTCTGTTTCTACTGATCTGAAGCAGCTCCCCCTTGCCTGCAAGGCAATCTGGAGTGGGGTGTGCATGCACCTCCCGCTCGGGATTCACCCCCTCCATTTCAGCTTCCGCTGCTGTTTCTGCTGCTGCTGCCCACCAGGTTGGGGTTTTGTTCTGTTTTTTTTTCAGTTTGGACACTTGTGCTCAGTCACCACTGGTTTGGTTTATGAGAAAATAAAAAAAATTAAAAAGTGACTGTTTTACTCTGCAAAATTAAAACTGAATCAGTTATGCAAGTAAGCATGGAAATAAAGCTGCAGAGAGACAGTTTGGACCCCCTCCCACTGACTGTATGATCAGACAGTGGAAAAACAGGAAGAACAACTCCTTAAGATGCCAAAAAAGAAAAAAGCCTTAAGAGGAAAATCAGCAAAATGGCCAAACTTGGAGCAGAGGCTCAAGACTTGGATTTTGGAGCAGATGCCAGAGTGGGATATGTGTATCAACCAAGATTATTCAACATCAGGCAAGAATGTTTGCAAGTGAAATGAAGATGGTTGATTTTACAGGAAAGGCAAAATGGTGCTTCAGTTTCATGAAGAGAGAAGGGTTGGCCATGAGAGCACGAACAAAGTTAGCACAGAAAATGCCACCTGTTTATGAGGATAAAATCCAGCAGTTTCACTCCTATGTCATACAGCTTTAGAAAAAAATATGATTTTGAACCAAGTCAGATTACAAACATGGATGAGGTGCCTCTCAATTTTGATGTGCCTTCCAACAGAACAGTTGATGTGAAAGGAATCAAAACAGTGGCAATCAAAACAAGTGGCCATGAAAAGACACACCATACTGCTGTGCTTTCATGCTGTGCAGATGGTACTAAACTGCCACCTATGCTTATTTCTAAGAGGAAAACGTATCCTAAAGAGACCATACCACATGACATTATTGTGCAAGTTCATGAGAAGGGATGGATAAATGAAGACGTCATGGCCATTTGGTTTGCAAAGGTTTGGTCCAGAAGACCTGGAGGGCTCTTAAAGAAGCCAGCTCTACTTGCCTTTGATCAGTTCCAAGCACATTTAACAGAAAAGACAAAAAAGGTTGCATCAGATTTGCGAACACATCTAGCAGTTATTCCTGGTGGACTTACATGTCAGCTACAGCCACTAGATCTTTCAGTCAACAAGCCATTAAAGTCCTGATGAGAGAAGAATGGAATAGATGGATTTAAAAAGCAGGTGGTAACTAGACACCGATAGGAAGAGTGAAAAAAAATTACTGAGTTTAGCAGTTGGGTTCTAAACTCATGGTATGGCATCAAAAAAGAGGTGATTGTGAAGTCCTTCAAGAAATGTGGAATCAGCAATGCCATGGACGGAGCTGAGGATGATCTTATATGTATAGACAGTGACTCAGAAGACGGCAGTGATGCAACAGAAGCTGAAGAAACTGATATATTTGCAACTACTAATAGTGATGAAGAATAAAGCAGTGTTGCAAATAGAGGCTGAATGAAGTGATTTTCTCAGCTAAGGGTGATGCATAATATAGTACTGGCTTGTAAATGTTGCCTAATTACTAAATAAAAATGTGTTCCTTTCTAATGTTTAAAATATTGATTCCTGAATTTTTGGGTTAGAAAATTTGGGGCGTCTTATACACAGAAAAATATGGTATTTCTAAAATTATGTCTAAGATGCTGGAGTATGTTGGCCCGTTTCAGAGTTTTACTAACGCTGTTTATTACTGTTGTTAATTTTGTTTTCATGCTTATTTAGAAATCACTGTTACACATTATTGCTGAATGTTTTATCAATGGAAGAACTCCAGGCTTAAGAGGCACCATGGAAATCATCTTCATATGTGCAACAAACTCAGAACAACAAATAATGCATTTTCTTGAATGCATAGATTCTCTCTGATAATATATAATGTATGCATTTTATCAGATTATAGCTTCATGTTTCCAAGCACAGTATAGAACAGTCTTGTAAGAAATGAGAATATTAGAGGCCCATGGGCAAGCAATTTCAGCCACAACATGATGCTGCTTTTGTGCTTTTCTTGTCAACAATGGCCTAAAATTATCTAATGTGATGTATTTGAAGATTGTATATTTGAAGATTGTTGTATATTACTTTTCTATATCATGATTAGATTACAGACTATATGTGGGACTAAAGAATGAAATTAAACCTCAAACTCTATAGGAAATAATTTAACAGAAGGCCCTTTATAACATGTTTCAGAATTAAGAAAACTTCCTATCTTTAGATTTCCACCAAAGTAACTATTTGATCATTGGCAATGTTTTTAGAAAAGCTGTTGATTCTAGGATTCATATGCATCTCTTGTTAGCAGGTTTAACTGTAAAACTGAGTCCTTAACTAAAATTGAGTTGCATATCTGTGTGCTTCTTAGTTTGTAGTAGCCTAGATATATTACTGAGATGTAATGTCTAAGCCCAAGGAAAAGAGCGGAGTGGCCTCAGCACTTAGCTATAGCTAATTTTACATCTATATTGGTCCTTGGCCAAAATGGATTGGTAACTGTGATGGGACCTCTGTCATTTTTTGGCACTTTTGATCCAAGGCCTTGTCCCTCCCTTGTCTAGCAGTATATTTTCTACAGTAATCAATTGTTAAGATAATGCAAACAACCTACTTCAATTGCTTCATCTCTAGAGAAATGCCCATAGGATCCTGGAATATTTGAGCAATGGATGCCAAAGAGAAGTAGAGGCACGTCCTATTTATCTGTTCACTTAATCTAAGTGCATGTACAGAATGTTGTAAACAAATGGGATTCAAGAGGAAGATATAAGAACTAGCACAAATCATCCTTTTTTATTTAAATAATAATCAGAATTGATTTTTTTTTTCAAACGCAGCCAGCAGTTTGCAAGGCTGTTGAAATTTGCTAGGCTGACTGTAAAGCCTTTATACTTCATTGAATATATAGTGTAAAGAACCAAATGACCAATGTATTTATATTTTAGTGAAGAGGCAGCAGTATGTGGTTTTGTTTTTTACCTAAGGCATTTCATGTGCAAAGTGTGATATGCGTGTTGTATATCTCCATAAAAATAAAAACATGAAATTTTAAAATCTCTGTTGTAGTACCATAACTTTATGACAATCTTTTTAAAAAAGTGAACTTTAATAGGTCTGTCCTGAGAGCAAAAGCGTTTTGAAAGTAGGTGGCTAAAATTGGAGTTTTGATAATAAAACTATTCTATAAAAGATGAATCTTAAAATGTCAAGGTTTTGTGTTTCTGCAGGATATGCATTGGACCCCTCAATAGATAATTATGAGGTACCTACTAAATATATTGGGTCTGTTGAAGAAGCCGAAAAGAATCAAGGTAAATCATGTGTATGTGTGTGCAGACACGTGTGCATGCTTGCACTCATATGTATGTGTTAGAAATTAGTCAGTATCCTATACTCTTTCACAAAGTGTTTTAAGGTTTTCATCATAAAAAATACAGTACATAGTTTTTAAAATATATTTTTCTAGTAGATGAAAATGCACCTTTGTATGGATAAGGAATGCAGTCCTTTTAAGCAATGAATGTATGAACACGCAGAACAAATTCTGTTGAACTGTATGAATAATAAAGCTTTATAGTAGTAGTAGTTCACAGTTGTGGAGGCCACAGCTGTCATGCAGCCATACTCACAGTTTGCCAAAACTGTGAAGAATTTTATTGGCAGTATAGAAACCTAATGCAGCCATAATTGGTTAATCTTCTGCATAGGGTATAGTGTCTGAGGGGTGCACCTCTCTCTCTCTCTCTCTCTCTCTCTCTCTCTCTCTCTCTCGCACACACATACAGAGAGAGAGAGAGAGAGAGAGAGAGAGAGATGTTACACTAAAGTTTATTCAGAAGAGCCTTGATGGCGGCAGCAGCACAAAAAGAACACAGGAAGTTGCAGATGGGCCACATGATGCCTGTGGCTGTCCTGTTTACTGCTGGATTTATTATTGTCTTTTATGCTGCTAGGGGTGCTTTTCCCTTACTGGATAGATATTTGAGTGTTTCTATCTAAAGGACCCCCAAAAGTTGTACTTTTTAAAGCGAAATGTGCTTGTAAATTTTGGACATAAGCTTCTCTTATTGCCCACAGGTCTAACTGTGTTTGAAACGGGACAAAAGAAAATAGAGAAAAGGAAGAAATTCAAAGAGAATGATGCTTCTAATATTGATGGGTTCTTGGGACCATGGGCAAAATACGTTGATGAAAAGGAAGTTGCAAAGCCTTCAGAAGTGAGCACCCATTCTGTTTTTTTAATTACAATAAGAGCACTAAATCTATAACACTTTGGCATGGATTGAGAAAGCCCCATCTGTGTCTAAAACACTCAGTGCCTAGTTTTCCAACAGCAGCTCCTGATGCTGAGAATGCTGCTCTAGGGAGTTCCACACATGTCCCTTCTGCTAATAGAATTCTCTCATTAATGAAAGATATAACAAAACTCAGCCTATCAGTTTTAAGTTGGACTTTAGTCAAATAGGCGATAATCATGCTGAAACAGACAAGTGGAAAAAACATAGGATTAAAGTGAGTTGCTGCATCCTGAAGTGCCACATTCTGCCCTTTGAATCCTGCCCTTAGCATTTGTTTAGCATTTTATTCAGAGTTTGTAAGCCATCCTGCCTGCAACTTTATAACGGGATAATGGGATAGAAGGGTAATTGATTATCATGATGATTGTGTTCAAAGCATATATTATGCTGTCTTGTAAACTTGAAACGATTATAACATGTCAGTATGAGCCAGTTTTAATTATATCAAGTATTGTTGTTATTGGCCAAAATCCTGTTGCTTAGTGTAGTAAAGTGTACTAGAGTAGGCCCACTGAATCAACTGAGGTTTAGTGAATCAACTCTTTTGTAAGTTCCATTGGTTGAGGTGGGCCTTCTCTAACCTTAACAATGCTGAATTAGGATTGAATTTGTGTCTGAGCCCTAGAGTGGCATTTTAACTGCTGTGCCATGCTGCCTTGAAAAACAATTTGTCCACCTACCTTGACCAATAGTATTGGATCTAATACTTACCTGTGGACAAAATCCTGTTGCATAGTGTAATAAATTGCACTAGAATAGTGGAATTTGTAGAAGAGTTGACTCACCAAATCTTGACTGATTCAATGGGCCTACTCTAGTGCAGTTGACTATGTTGAGCAACAGAATTATCTCCCCTCTTAGGTAAGTCTTAAATCCTTATTCGTCAGGGTGGATGGACAAACCTTTTTCTGAGCCGGGGTAGCACAACAATTAAAATATTGGAGTAAGGCTCAGACCTGAGTTCAGTTCTCCTGTACTGATGACTGGCATTTATGTGTGACATTCTCCATTCAGCAAGGACAAGAGGGATGTAGTAAATGTTTCCTATTTTGCAGCCAAATGAATGTAGAGTATTGTAGCAAGCTGTTGCATGGTCCAGCACTAGTCATCTGCTTGGGAGTGTTCCTTTCTCCCTAGTAACCTAAGCTGTTGCATGGTCCCGCACTAGTCCTTGGGAGTGTTCCTTTCTCCCTAGTAACCAAAACAATCCATGCTAATATGTTGGATTAACACTGCAATGAAAGAAGTTGCAAAGTATGAAATGTGTAACAGGAAAGTAATTCTGTCTCCTTTGTCATGGTCTCTGTTTCACACAAATGGGTTCTGCATCTGTGCAAACACTCCTCACGGAACCTTCTGGAGTGTTATCCTTTAGCATTAATATATAATTAATGTCTTTCCTACAAATGAAGTGATATCTGCAAAAATGTTGTTTTGTACAGGGTGCTCCCGTCAGCTATGCCATCCTCCAGGCAATGACATGGTTCATTTGATTTCCCTCTTCTCATACAGTGTCAGAATTTCAGTCTTCATTGGGCTGTTTGGAGGAGGGTATATTTTCCTCTAAGAACTGATGCCTACATTTTTGGGTGCTTCTACAAACTTTGGAGATTATTCTGCAAGAAAAATTCTTCCTTTTATATATATATAAGTACAGTGGTGCCTCGCAAAACGATGAATCCGCATGACAATGAGTTTTTGAGATCGCTATAGCGATTCGCAAAACAGTGTTTCCTATGGGCGATTTTCACTATATTATGTTTTGATCTGTGCTTCGCAAGACGATTTTTTTGGGGGGGGACCAATTTCCGCAAAACGATTTTGACAGCTGCTCTGCGACTCGCAAAACGGGTGTTTTCAGGACCGATTTTCACAAGACAGTGATTTTAACAGCTGTTTGGCGCTTCACAGAATGGTTTCTCTATGGGCGACTTTTGCAAAATGACGATTTGTCCCCATTGGAACGCATTAAACGGATTTCAGTGCATTCTAATGGGGAACCACATTTTGCAAGATGATGTTTTCACAAGACAGCGATTTTCGCTGAATGAATTAACATTGTCTTGCGGGGCACCACTGTACTTTAATACATGAACTCTGTGAACTTGCCAACTACATAAAAACATCCTGTTTTAGGTTTTGTTGCACTACTAAGATTGTATTTTTTTCATATTTGTGTTACTAAGGAGGAGCAAAGAGAATTAGATGAAATAACAGCAAAGAGGCAAAAGAAAGGCAAACATGAAGACGATAAACCTGGAGAAGAAAAAACTATTTTACACGGTAAGTGCTGCCTTCAGCAGCTTATTTGCATTTTCTGTGTCTGCCTTCAAACACTGATCATCATCAAAATAATGGTGTATGTTGCGGTTTGTTTACTGTGCCAGTAATTCTTTCAGCACACCATGTAAGAAGAAACGTAATCTATAAAAGATAATGTGATGCCAAAAATACCATTGAGGACGGATGGTGTCCAGTTAGAAAGAAGCTTAGACACACACTGATTGTGTTTCTAGTAACACAGGAAAGAATTTTTAAAAGTGGTTAAATTTAGATTGTAGGCAGATTGTACTATTGGGAACACTTTGGAAATGTCATTTGCTTGTGAATTCATCTCAAATGTCATTTCCTTGATTTTAATTTGGCAGCCTCCTCTTCGGCTTCCATTTCTTTCCCATGAAAAACTTAATTGTTCAGATCTTTAGTTTTGCCAGCTTTTAGACCATCTGCATCTTCATGCACTGTATCTCAATTTCAGTGACAGCTACAGTGTTGCCTATGAAAGCTTTAATTTGTTATCTTTTGGTTTCAGTTGCAGTGTGCAATAAGTTTGTTTATGGAGAAAAATAATACAATAATAATTCCTCTCCTGTCTGTACATGTTTTTTCATCCTTCATGACTCCATTGACAAATATTCTATTGCTTAACATAGTAAATCATGCTAGAGTAGGCCTATTGAATAAATGGTTATTTGGTAAGTCAACTCCTCTGCAAGATCCATTGATTCAAATGGGTCTACTCTGACAACAGCTTATTTTTGCCCATTAAGTCACCATCAGAGCAGGCCCATATTAATCAATGGAACCTATGGAGGAGTTAACTCATTAAGTCTGCATTGATTCAATTCAAGTCTGCATTGATTCTAGTGTGAATTACTATTCTTAGCAACAGGATTTTGGCCATTCTTTTGATTCTGCCTACCACTACTTGTATCTGTCACAACATTCATATACAATATATGATCGGACTTGGTGTCTTTTCTTTCTTCGTTTCATCCAGCCCTTTTCCCTGCACTCAGAGATGATGTGCCATATTGCAAACCACTGTTGAAATGAAAATGCAGTAGATCTTCCAAATGTACTTACCACTATGAGGTGTTTCCTTTCATCCAAGGCAAATATATACTTTGCAGAGAGAATCTCTAAAATTCAACATTTTAAAAATGATATCAATCATTTTATGAAAATCCATAGATTACAGTCAAAATTAGTCACGGCTTTGATGTTTCTTGATGCAGAATTGGGAGGTTGGAAAAACAACCATGGGAAATGCAGACAGTAGCAATTAGCCTACAGAAATTCTTAAGTATCCCCTCATTGACAATTATATCCAAACAAGTAGATTTACTGGTTGAACTCTGTCAATGGAATGAGGAAGGTCATGATCCCAGTGCTGCAGAAGACTCTCCAGAGCTGCTTTTCAGGTGGTGCAGAGGGCTGCAAAGGAGGAACAAGCTTATGAAATGTTAATGGACAGGTGCTAGAGTGGTTTTGGATTTAGGCCAACATCATAAAGAACATTGTCAGTAACATTGGGTTTTCAACAGTATATTTAGTATATTATTTATTTTAATTGCAAGTGTGTCAATGATAAATTCTTTTCCAACATATTTCTGAGAGATTGTAAATTTTTGGGTGTTTTTTTTTAAATCTTTTTAGTCAAAGATATGTATGACTATCAAGGGAGGTCCTATCTTCATGTTCCTCAAGACGTTGGCGTCAACCTACGTTCAGCAGTACCCCCTGAGAAATGTTATCTTCCTAAGAAGCAAATCCATGTATGGTCTGGTCATACAAAGGTAAGGAAGAGTTAGAAATCAAGGCCGTTATCTTATTATGATCTAGCATGTATGTAACAACGATTGTGGAAGCAGACTTGGCTAATTAAGTAGGTGCCTAATATGTGACTGATCATGTGACAAGCAACTTGCCTGTTAGCTGAATGAGCTTCCACTATTGCTATCAGGTACTTGCTCATTTGAACAATTTGGCCTCCATTTATTCCATTGTGATGTCTGTTTTGTCATGAAGTAGCCCTTCATTTTAGAATAATTAAGGACCTGCTGTTTCTCCAAGTTATAAACAAACAAAGCAAGGTGTTCTGCTCATATATTCCCCCAGAGCACTTCAAGGAATCTCTGGGCAGTTTACAGTTTAATTACAATATGCAAGCTACATATTGTTGCCGTCTCTCTCTCTCTCTCTCTCTCTGTCTCACACACACACACACACACACAAACATTTACCAACCTCAGAAGGATGGAAGGCTGAATCAGCCTTGAGCCAGCTACCTGAACCCATTGGGATTGAACACAGATCATGAGCAGAGTTTGACTGCAGTTTAACCACTGCACTACATGGCTCCTTGAGTTTCAAAAACAGCTTTTGTTGTGTGCTCTTAAGTCGACTCCAACTTATGGCTACGGTATGAGTGAGTAACTTCCAAATTGTCCTATCATTAAGAGCCCTGCTCACCTCTTGGAAACTCAATGCTGTGCCTTCTTTCATGGAGTCAATCCATCTCTTATTTGGTCTTCCTCTTTTCGTGCTGCCCACAGCTTTTCCTAGCATTATCATCTTTTCCAGCAAATCTTCTCATGATGTGCACAATGTACGGCAGCCTCAGTTTAGTCATTTTTGCCTCCAGAAATAGGAGAATTTGATTTAGGATTCACTTGTTTGTCTTTTTGGCAGTCCATGGTATCTACAGGGCTCCCTTCCTTCAAAAATTTCCCTTACACTAATGTGTAATTGTATGTGTAGTCGTGTTATTTCAGGTACCTTGAAAAAGTTTTATCACCACATTTCTACCGTATTCTTAGGTAAAAGTAAAGGTTCCCCTTGACATTTAGTCCAGTTGTGTCCGACTCTAGGGGGCGGTGCTCATCCCCGTCTCCAAGCCGTAGAGCCAGCGTTTGTCCGTAGACAGTTTCCGTGGTCACGTGGCCAGCGTGACTAGACACACGCCCTTACCTTCCCACCATAGTGGTACCTATTTATCTACTCGCATTTGTACATGCTTTAGAACTGCTAGGTTGGCAGGAGCTGGGACAAGCAACAGATTCTACCATATGACTGCTGGTCTTCTGTCCTTGCAACACAGAGGCTTTTGCAGTTTTACTCACAGTGCCACCACATCCCTTATACTGTATTACACTGATTCTAAATGCCATTCCTTATAAACTGGTTTTAAAATCATCAGCCATTGTAATTGATCCACCCAAGAGTGCTGAGGGGCAAAGATATATTGAGAAATTATCTGGCCATAATGTACACACTGTGCACAGTATGTGTGTACATTGAGCAATAAATAAATGTATTTATAGTTCTAATTTAACTCCCTCCAGTGGACAGCCATGTGACCTGTTCCAGAGCTATAAAATGTGCCACTTTCTTAAGATTTTTCATAATCTCAAAGATTTAAATAGCAGAAAGTGTTGTGCACAGGACCATCTTTTTCCCTCTTGGTAAAAGTTCAGGAGAATTCAAAGCAAAGCTCAGAATCTCTTTTCTTAGCCCTTGGTGCACAGATACTTATTGCAGTACACTAAGTACTTCTGAAATCTACTTTTTGTGGCTTCTCCCAATAATACACTTATATAATTAGAGCCTAATATCCAAAGTCTTCCTAAATAGCAAACAATGTACTATCTTAACAATTTGTTATAGCAGCAAAGGTGTCTCTGCTTTGCCAGTGGCAAAGCTTCTGTATAGAGGAGGTGTAAGCGGCCTCTGTATTATCCCAAGTCTCACCTGTAGTTCAGAATTATCACCTGGTGTCATTAGCCATTAGTCTGCCAATGGTGTGTGAAAGCTTGTTACTGTATTTGGAGTTGTGAATATTTAATTCCACATCCCACATAGGCCGTCATTCTTTTGCCATTAAGGCTGACTCTCATTAGGGTCAAATGTAACATGGTGCTCTTGGGGATTTCAATTCTGTACCTCATCTTTAACCACAGTGCCAAGCCATGACACAAGCACTTGAATCCTCAGTATGTCATTCTTAGCCATTTAGCCTGCTTATAAATTGACTGTCATGGATCCCTCTTACTGAGTTTAAACTGGCTCTTGGCCAAGTGTTTCATCCTTTATACACAGATTATTTACAACTTTTTCCTCTATTGTGTCCCTGCAATCTAGAGAATTAGAAGTGCATTCTTGCACTTTTCGGTTGCTGCAGTTACTCTCAGAGACAGCTTTTAGAAATCTGTTGTCACTGATTAGCAGCAGTTCTGCAGGGCATTAAAAGGAGATCCCCCCCCAGCTGTAACTTAAGAGATGTTGAGAGTGCATTCAGAGACTTTGTCTTTGTGGCCATTCCCTGACAGTATTAAGAGTCTATCATAGCATAAATATTTTTCCATGGTTAATATCTATACGACTTTAATGTTTAATGAAGAAGTTGAAATTATTAAATATTTTGTATAACTTGGTTCAATAACCAATCTAAATGGAGATTGCAGTGATGAGATCAGAAGAATGAGACTCAGAAGGACAGCAGTGAAGGAATTAGAAAATATCATCAAATGTAAGGCTGTGCCAGTGAAGACCAAGACCAGGATCATCCATATTCTTGTATATCTGATCACCATGTATTGGTGTGAAGCTGGACAGTTTTTTACAGGAGGAAAAACTGATTTGTTTGAAATGGGGTGCTAGATGAGAGCTTTGCAGATACCCTAGACCAGTGACAGCGAACCTTTTTGGGTCCGAGTGCCCAAACTGGGGGGAAAAAACAACCCAGAGGTGGTGGCAGAAGGGGGAATCCTGGGCACGGAAGTGCCTTGAGATCCCACTCCAGATCTGCTGCCAGCTGCTCCGGATTCTGGCCCACCGCCTGTCGAAGCGGCAGCACCACAGCTGCAGCTGCCTCCTGAGGTTTGGCTGCAGAGGGGGATAGTGATTCGGCAATTTAGGCTCACATGCCCGCAGAGAGGGCTCTGCATGCCAGCTGTGGCACGCGTTCCATAGGTTCGCCTATGGAACGTGTATACCTTTGAGAAGCAGAACTCTTCTTCAAAGATGAGCATAAGAATCACAAAAGATTTAGAGGAGAGATCAAGGAAAAATGACACAGTCATTTCAAACCCACAATACACATTTCCTTCTAAGAGGTATAGCAATTTGGGATGCTCTTCCATTCCATAATATCATGATAGCTTCCTGTTGTTGAGCAACTGAAATTGTTGGTATGCTTTTGTGTGGGGTTGCCTTACTTGTGGCTCTCCAAATGATGTTGAATTACAGTTTCCTTCTTCCCAGATTATTGGCCATGTCAACTAGGGATGGTGGGATTTGTGGCCAGCCAACATCTGCGAGGCCATCCTTGCCGTAGAATTTATTTGTGGCATTGACTTCACCCATTAGTGATGAAATTTTCCTATGGAAGATGATGTGAGGATGTTGCAAAAGAAAAATAGGCCTGGTAATTATGATCTGTTTTCATTTACAGGGAGTCAGTGCTGTCAGACTGTTTCCTCTTTCTGGCCACCTGCTGTTGTCCTGCTCTATGGACTGTAAGATTAAGGTGGGTTGCTTCAAATATATTTTAACCACTGGTTGCAAATATATAGTGGTGCCTCGCTTAGCGATTGCTCCGTTGAGCAATGAAATCGCTTAGCGATGGGGTTTTGGCCTTCGCCAGAGTGATTGCTTAGCGATGGCTCCTATGGGGAAAAATCACTTTGCGATGATCGCAGGGAAGCGATCACCGCAAAGCCCCCATTTTCGGCCAGCTGATCGGCAGTTTCAAAATGGCCGCCGGAAAACAAAATGGCTGCCCGCTGTGTTGCCTCGCTTTAGAGGCATGGAAAATGGCCGCCGCAGTGAAGGATCTTCGCATAAGGTTAGTTTTAAAGCCCATAGGAACACATTAAACAAGTTTTAATGCATTTCTATGGGCTTTTAAAAATCGTTTAGCGATGTTTTTTCCAGAACGGATTAACGTCGCTAAGCGAGGCACCACTGTGTATACATTTGCTGCATAAATGTTACATTCACATCCACATGCCTCCTTTTTATCACTCATTGTCAAGGCAAATACAGTTTTCGTGGTCTTTGCTTAAAATGATATGTTGGATCATATTGGCTGACAGCCTTTAATGACTCTTGAATCCTCTGCTCATCATGAAAGAAATATTATGCATCATTTATTTAAGAACTTGCTTAATCAAATGCTTTTTTTGTTATAACTAGTGCAAAAACAGATACCCTACTGTTACGTATCAGTTGCAGAGAAATGCTAAAAGATACAAGTGTCATAATGTTGTACAAAATATATGGGGGCTTGTTTCCTGATCCACGGTGTCTACTTAATTTATGTATCCATGACAATTCAGTGTTATATGATGCTTCTAGTTTATTTAAAAATAATAATTAAACCAGGAAGTAGGCATCAACTGGGCTATCCTGTGTACCAGCCTTTGCTTAAGAAATGCACAACAAATTTCTTGAGTGTATAAGAACCCAGAGGATACATGCGTGGTTAGACCAAAGGGTCTACAGTGGACCCTTGACTTACAGAATTAATCCGTATTGGAACTGTGGCCGCAGGTCGAAAATTCCATAGGTCGAGGGTCCATTTCCCATAGGAATGCATTGAAAACCATTTAATTCGTTCCAGCCAAAGGGAAAAAAATGCGGGGCTTCCAAAGCTGCACCCGCTGCCCTCTGCCTTCTGTCCCCACTGTCCTCTGCCTCCCATCCCCGCAGCGACAGGAGGCAGAGGCCATTGGGGACAGGAGGCAAGAGGCGAGCCGGTCTAGCTTTCTAAGCCCCGAAAGCCCAAAGCTGACAGCGGCCGCAGAGCGGCTTTCAGCTTGCGACTTTGGAAGCCGGAAAGCCAAAAGCCGCTCTGTGCCCGCTGTCAGCTTTGGGCTTTTGGGGCTTAGAAAGCTCAAAGCTGACAGTGGGCACGACCTGCAACCTACAGACTGGAAGGGGGAGGCGGGGAAAGCGCAAAATTTGAATTTGGCACTTTCCGTGCCTCTCCCTTCTGGTCTGTAGGTTGATTCTCCGGCCGCAAGTTGAAGTGAAAATTTGCGGCCAGAGAAGTGTGGATCTCGAAAAGTTCATAAGTGGAGCCGCACGTAAGTCGAGACTCCACTGTAGTCCAGAATTCTCTTCATACAGCAGCAGACTAGTTAATCATGAGAAATTGACAAAGCATGAGTCAATGTATTTTTGAAGGCTTTCATGGCCAGGATCTGATAGTTGTTGTGGGTTTTTTCCTGACATTTCGCCAGCCTCTGTGGCCGGCATTTTCAGAGGACAGGAGTAGGAAGTTCCTACTCCTGTCCTCTGAAGATGCCGGCCACAGAGACTGGTGAAATGTCAGAAAGAACAACCTTCAGAACATGGCCAAAGAGCCCAAAAAACCCACAACAACCATCAAAGCATGAGTCATCATCAACTTAGAACTGCAGAGCTGGAAACAACCCTGTGGATCATTCAACCCCTGTCAGGAAGCACAGTAGGGAATCACTTAACCGATGCTTTGCAGCCAGATATCTAAACCCACTGAGCTATCTAGCAGGTCTCATGGAACTGCACTTATGCTTCCCATCAACCAAGATGCAGAGGCATGTGTACCTTTGATATTGGAGAAGGGTGTATAGATCCATCCTGAGTATATCAGTGTATCTGAAAACATGGGAAGTTTCAGAGTGTATATCTATTATCTGAGGCTCCACCCAGTGAGAGAAGGGAGCCCAGGTGAAGGAAGAAAGAGCAGTAATGTTGCCATTGCTGAGGTAGTTTACCTGTCTTGTTCAATATTTTATTTCAGGAAATAGGTCTGTGCCTGCACTCAAATCAGTAGTTTCATTTGATATAATAGCTTTTACATCCCACACAGTGTCAAGTTCATTGGGTACCTGTTTCCTTTAAAATATGTGGATTATACAGTATTTTATAAGAAATCATTGTGGGTTAAAGTCTAGGTTTATGTGCTTTTGTGACTAGAATCCTGTGACTTATTGTACACTGGCACAGGTCAAATGGCACAAATCTCAGCAGCAAATGCTGACAGCTAAAGAGGCTCCAATTGTATTCCTTGTCACACGCCAGGCATGTGGCTTGGTGAACAAAGAGAAATACAAGGAGCAACTCTGTAGCTGTTAGTGCTTTGGAGCTCTGTTGTTTAACTTATGCTAGCGTATAAAAGTACAGTAGTATGATTCTGGTCTATATGTTGCCTTCATTTATTTTCTTTGGGAAGTTGGTGCTTTGGTGCTTATAATGCTGTGGAGATGACTGTAGAAACTATACTGCAAGTTACTGCATTTGAAGATTGGTTTATTTTAAAATAGTCATAAGTGATTTGTGCAGATGACTAGATGCAATTTTACTTTTGTTTGTCCTTTAATGAAGCCACATTTTAAGATTTATTTCTCTCCCTTCCAGCTCTGGGAAGTTTATGGCGAACGAAGATGCTTACGAACTTTCATTGGTAATTTTTTTAAAAATCTAAAGTTTAATGGGAAGCTGGGGATTCATTGCCTCAGATGTTGCTTCAGTAGCTTACTTAGCAATGGGGCTTATGTGTGTTTCAAGTGAGTAATTGTTAGAATTCATGTATGAACCTAAGGAAATAACTATTGAACAGATTATCTTGCTAGTGGAATTCATTCGGATTTGATGTGCTGTTAAGATTTAAACACAGGAAGAGAAGTCATATTGGTGTGCGTGAGCTAGAAAATGCCAGAGGTGGTGGGAAGATCAAGCACACTCAGTTCCTTGGCACATATATCATAAACCTGCCCTATTGCTGGACTTCTGGAAGCTACTTGAAGGCTGATAGAGCAGAAATAGAAATGAGGTTGCAACTAAAATATACTGTACTCATGTCAAAGTTAACACCACATTTTTTTAGGAAATATGTTTAAGATGGGAACATGGATGTGAAAAATACATTTCTCCTTGTTCATGAAGCTGTAAATGTGAGTTAAATCCTCAGTCTAAAACCCGTAGTAAGGGATTATAATAGATACTGTCCAAAAATAACTGGAGGACCACAATGGATCACCCAGCCTTAAAATATGATTGTGATGTTGTTTCTGATGACAGATTACCATCCATAAAATGTGGCCATCTTGATAGCCTTAACGTAGGGAGTAATTGAGATGATGTTAGTGCTGAGCAGAGCAGAGCAGAATCATTGTGTGTGTAGGTTTGCTGGGAATGTGGATTGGATATAAAATCTGGTGCAAGATTTTCCTCCATTATTGCATTTTGGAGTTCAACTGGGTAGAAGTTTCACACCCACAGCCCCACTTTTACTTCTTGCTTTGTCTGCAAATACATTAAAATGTTGCCTGAATGAAAGATGAGTACTGTATTACAAAACAGTTGCAGTACTTTAACCAGAACATAATTAGATGTCCTCTTGACTTAAGACCTGATATTTATTATTTTTAAAAATGTTAGTTAAAAAAAAAACATTCTTCTCCCTTATAACAAAGGGTATTTAAAGAATGCGGTGAGATATTTTTAGATGTGTGAACTACTTTGCTCTTTTTGCTACATTCTCCAAATGTAGTGCTTCAGAAGGAAGAACAAGCAATTTTTAAAGTAGTCTGCATGAATCCACATGAAGCAACTGGGGAAATAGCCTTTCACTTATGGTTTCTGGGACAAGAGGTACCTGCAGAAAGGATACACTGTGTTCAAAATAGAACTTTTGTAGCAGTTTTTTGTGACGGTATTTGTGGTACTTTGCTTCTTTGAGACTTTGCCTGCAAGATACATCTAGGGCAAGAGACCCATGCTTCCATCCAGGTATCTGCGTCGTGATGGAAAACTGCATTTACAAAATACAGTTATGCTTGCAATTCCTAATAGTAGATTAGGAACATCCTCATCAGACTGAACAGATGGTTCACAATCTCTGCTTTGACAGAATGAATCACTTACCAGAGGGGGTGGAGGGGTGCAACTGCAACCATCGTTCATTTCACTCATTATGAAGCACAATGGAGACTGCACTGCAGGCCAGACATTGTACATCCAAACCTGTCTTTCCTACAGAGCAAAACTCTGATTCTTTTCCTTGCTAATACTATATTTTCATCCTTTAGGGCACAGTAAAGCTGTCAGAGATATTTGCTTTAACAATGCTGGAAGCCAGTTTCTCAGTGCTGCATATGACCGGTATCTTAAACTCTGGGATACTGAAACAGGTAAGTTATATACCTTACCCTTTCTGGTGTTTCTGTTTTGCAAAAACCAAATATAACTGTTGAAGTGCAAAAGGCTGGTACAGGTACAGTTTCCAATACACTGTTGCTGCATACATTGAAAATTGTCCTGAAACATGTTCAGTTCAAGAATGGAAAGCATCAGCTCTATACAACAAAGAGACATATGCAGGAGGTTCTAGGTCCTGGTGTCTCCAGAAAATGTTGGCTCAACCCTGTCTAAACATTGGAGACTCAATTTTCAGTGTGGACAGCATTGAGACAGTTGGACTAATGGGGCTGACCCTGTAAGGCATCTCCATGTATTCTGTTGTAGCTGCTTAGACAGAAGATAATTCTTGTTGCTGCCTATTGCATGAAGTGATCCTGAGTGAAGTGGGTTGTTTGCTTCTTTTTCCTCTAGGACAGTGTATTTCACGATTCACCAACAGAAAAGTTCCATACTGTGTGAAATTTAATCCTGATGAAGATAAGCAGAATCTTTTTGTAGCAGGAATGTCAGATAAGAAAATTGTGCAGGTAAATTGAGAATATATATTTCTTGAAATCTTTGTACAGTAGCAACTTAAAGATCAAACTGAATTCCTCTTTTAGGTAGGATGTTTTCTTTATGCTTGCAGTGATGGTAGACTATTTCCTATACAGTAAGTCTTTAACAATGTGAGAAATGCATGCTAAAATACTTGCTTTCAGATTCCACAAAACCTATCAAATACTGTGTCATTTTCATTACATGTTCAAGAAATTACTCAGATTTGTTTTATCTTGTAGTGGGATATTCGAAGTGGAGAAATCGTTCAGGAGTATGATAGACATTTGGGTGCTGTCAACACCATTGTATTTGTGGATGAGAATAGACGATTTGTGAGTACATCTGATGACAAAAGTTTAAGAGTCTGGGAGTGGTAAGTGGAAGTTCAATTGTATTTGACAGTGGACTAAAGGAATAAATTGGAGTAGATAATGTATTGTTCTTATATTTTCTCTTTGATGTAATGCTAATGGTAGCTATTTATGAAATTGGATTAAATAGTTCTTTTTTGAGTTATGTCCCCCCCAAATGTAGTTTCTTGACTTTGTTTTCCAGTTTAAATTTGATAGTAGTGTTGTAGCTAAATTCAAGGCAGTCGGGTCCAAGCATCTGTCTTCCCAGTAGCCAGGGTTGGCGAGATCCAGTGTTCATCCAATGCAAAAGAGGAAGGGACTAGTCGAGGGGATGAGCAGCTGTTTCAAGTTCTTGGATTGTAAACAGGTTACATGTGTTTTAATTTGTCATCTCATGACCTGCTACTTATTTCTAGCTTGTTAGCTGGTGAAATTAGTTCAGTGCTAACAGAAAATCTACTGAGATGCCATATTGCTAAGAAAGAAAGGGGAGTGTTGCAGAAGAAACAATGGACAAATCTGGCCTAGAAAAAAGCATGCTTTCTAATATAGGGTTAGAGGTATGGTTTGCAAATGGTGAGTCAGCTGGGACTGTTGAGCTTGAAAAAGAGGTTTCACTTTCAAAGGAGAGACCAGAATAATCAGAACAAAGAAAAACTTGATGGTTCAATTCATTTGGAAGAAGATTCAGAGTCATCACAGCGGAATTGTTGGCTGGGGTCTTGGCTGGCTTGTGACTTTGAGGAAAGATCGCCACCTACTGGCTCATCAGCACCACTTTAGTGACATGTGAAGGCCAGCATTTGTTTAATGTATGTTCTCATTGCTGCATGTGAGGAATGGTGAGTGAAGTGTGGAAGTTGCAGTGGTAGACAGGTTTTAATTGAGCCATTTAATCATTTCAAATGATCGTGGAAGTTGAGTTCTTTAATTTTAGAACAGCAGGATGTTTGGTTCAGTGCGTAAGAGATTAGTTGTATTATTACTGTGTTTCCCCCCAAACAAGACAGGGTCTTATATTAATTTTTGCTCCAAAAATCCATTAGGGCTTATTTTCAGGGGATGTTTTATTTTACAGTCATGTCATCTTCTGGTTGCTGCACAATGGTGGAGGGCGGGGTTGCACTTAACTGGGGCTTATTTTGGGGGTAGGGCTTATATTACAAGCATCCTGAAAAATCACACTAGAGCTTATTTTCAGGTTAGGTCTTATTTTTCTTCTTGAAGGGTCTTGTAGTCTTAAATAACACTCTCTGTACAACACCTAGTTTTTCTAGAGTCGGTAAGAATCTGCTAATGAAGATTAACAGCTAAGGTACAAGATGAGAAAGATAGATGCAAAATAAAAATCAGTTCTTGAATTTCGTTTGAAAATTAATAATTCTTTAAAATTCATTTGCATAATTTAATTCATTGCATAATTTAAAAAAAATTAAAGTGGCAAGGGGTTTTCAGAATATTTTCTAGCTCCCAGTAGGTCCGAAGTAGTATTTGATTGATTTGAATTTATACGATTGCATGGTTATATGAACATAATTAGACAGTAATTAACCTTCATGACAGCAGTTACACTCCATCTAATTTGTCATTAAAGTGATGTATGTAAATATTATGAGGATTAATGTAGCTGTGTAATTAATGTTTTCTGCATTGTTGTCTTTTTTGCCGACTGCAGAAGCTGGAGAGCCCTTATACCAGCCCTAGCAATCCTCAAGGGTTTCCAAAAACATTCAGTTAATGTTATTTTTTAACTCAATCAGAATTGAACAGTTAGATGCGTTGAGTGGAATCCTTCTGAAATCTTGCTTTGGGCAAAATCACAAATCTAGTAGGAAGTATTTTATTCTTTGTACTCAGGCATCCAAATGTGGATAGGATAAGTCTTTTAAATCTATTCCATTACAAGAACTTTCTGCATTTAGACTTCTAGTTCTCATTAAGCAAATTGTGACAAAGGAATGTGAGATGTAACATCTGTTACATCTTTATAAGCATTTATAAAATCAAATGACTTAGCATTACTTTTAAGCATATATATTTAAGGAAGTAGCTGCCCTACATTTTTGGACCAGTCATCATGATGCTTTTCTATTTCTAGATATTCTGTACGAAGCTAGTGACAGTTAGTTTGCATGTTTCTCTCCTCCCCATAGGCAGGACAGAACATCTGGCCCAAGAGAGCCCCATAGTTGTTTCAGTGCAGGCTGTTCCTTATATTTGATGTTTAATATTTGATGTTTTTATCCCAGAGCTATAATTGCAATTAATAATGAGCTTAAAGACCAGTAGTGAATAATTAGTTGGACTGTGTTACTTGGCCTTCGGTGTAGATGTTTGTATTTTTAGTGGCGGATTTTTAGTGGGTGGGGAGTGTTTTGGGGAATTTTATGTGTGTGCATGTGTCTGGTCTCTGGGTGTCTGTGAATTTCATTGTATGGGTATACTGTGTATAATGTGGTTTTTA